ATAAAATTAAAAGTCCTTTCTGTATTTATAACATATAGTTCTTACTTAGAAAGCTCTTGTGGCCTAGTGAGTAAGGAGTTGCACTATCAATATAAAGGCTGTCTCTTTCAATCTGCCAAGTGTTCCATAAGAGATAGATGGACAGTCTTCATCTCATGCATTTTACTGTCTCTTTGAACCTGCCGGAGATTTACCTTTTAGTAGGCTCTGACCTGAAGGCAATTAATGTCATAGCAGGAGAGCAGTTTTTCCGTGGGGCGTTTTGGTGATATAGTCCTAGACAGTTTTGCTGGTAACCAAAAGCTTGCCCGTATGTGGTTCTTGAGCCCTTACAGCCTCAGAAACCTGATAGAGGATCAGTTATGAGTTGGAACCAACTTAACAACAATGAAAGAGTGTTCTTATTTGATGAACTAGGCCACTAGGTGGAGATCTAAAATGAAATAATTTCTTAGAATTGTATAGCTCCCATATATTCCTTTGTAATTCATTATCAATTAGTAGAGAATCTTCATTTGAACATAAGGACTGAAAACATGTAAAAAAGGCATGAGAAAGAGAAAAGGGTAACATTACTTCTGTATATCTCTTCACATTAAAAACACTTTTTTATTTAGGAGAATTTCAGTAACAAAGCTAAATTACTTTTGAAAATTATTCCAGTTAGTTGAATGCAACATTGTATTTACTTCTAATGAATATGGAAAATTCTCATAGGAGTTAATTTTTCTAATAACCATAAACTCAAATTCATTATGAAGCATAATCTTGAATAGGAAGAAAAACCATGGTATGCAGCAAGAATAGTGATATATAATATCTTGAAATATTGATAAGCTATGAGGGACCGGGTGAGGAGTTAAGGTGGAGCGAGGAAGGAATGACAGATTACTCAGAGAATCAAATACAACTTTTCACAGTAATACTTCAGGAAAATAAGATTGGTCTTCCTCATCAGCCCTTCTTACGCTTTTCTTACAAAAGGTATAATCCTCACTTTTACTGTTTAAAACGTCACCATTATTTTCATTTCACTAAAATCTTCCTCAACCCTTTTTCTGTGCAATGAAAGAACATATGGGAGAATGGTGGTAGAGTGGGGAAGAAGACTTACTCAGAGACATTTCATGAATTAGGGAGCTCTTGATGGTGTGATCCGTAGGGAGTTGTGTGCTATCCCAAAGTTGTTACAGTGTTTTGGGGGTTTTTAAATACTGGATTATTACAAAGTTTGAATACATTACTTTTTTCACCAGATCTTTGCAATTTCCTTTAACCACCTCCATCAAATGGTAGGACCCCGTGATTAACACCTTCTCCCTGCTTATCCTCACCCCTCTGCCCCCACCCCCCAGCCTTGGATCCTCATGCTCATTCTACAATAATAGTTTTATATTTTATTTGTCCTTAAGGGACTGAGCTCACGCAGCACAATGCTCTCCATTTCCTCTCAAATTAGGTAGTAATTTACATAATCATACTGCTTCTGCATGCTGCATAGTATTACATTGTGTGAATGTCTCGTAATTCCTCAATCCATTTGATTGTGGTTGGACAGTTGAGCTCTTTCTGTGTTCTTTCAATGGTAAATAACAGTGCTATGAACATTGACGTACACGTCTCCATTAGAGCCTCAGTTCTCATTTTCTTGGGGTATATTTCAAACAGTGGAATAGGTGGGTCATTTGGAATTTCTGTGTTCAGCTTGTGGTGGTTTGAGTCTACCAGGAACTTCAAAGGAAAAACATGGCCAAACTCCCCCTGAGTGATTTAAACAGTTTCAGAAAACCAACCAGAGTGTCAGCTATGAGTTGTTTTGACTCAGTGACTATGAGTTTGCATTTATTTCATGAGTTATGTCAAAGAATTTAAAGTAATCAGATACACAATTATGAAATAGTTTTCTGAAAAGGTTCAGTACTATTTCTGTTATATCACTGTTGATCGATAATTGGTGTGAATTTTAGTTTTTTGGTGTGTGTGTGTGTGAATCTGTTTATGAAAATATTACATACATAATACAATAGGTACATATTTCAAATGGTCTTTTCTGTTAACTTCTGTAAGTTTGAGCCTTGTTGAAATCCTGATGCACATCATGAAATACACTATTAGTAGCATCACAGTTATCTCTTTCATGGACTATGCCTGACTATGGTCATCACTATTCTAAATACTATAATCATTTATATCTGTGAATGTTAGTAAGTGTGATTTTATGAGATATTTTCCTCTATATTTGATTTCTTCCAATATTGTAGATGGGGGATTCATCTGGAGTTAGGTGTGCAATAGTGGTAGTTCTACTTTATTTGTTACAAATTCATATATTTAATATATACATTGCTGTTGTTGTTGTTGTTGTTGATTAGAGTTGAGTCAAGCATGACTGTTCAGTGGTTATCCAAGGCTCTGAATCACATGGAGATTTTTCCATCTTTCTTCCACAGAGCAACTGGTGGATTCAAACTTGCAGCATGGATAGCCTTTGTGTTAGCAAAACAATTCGCTATGAACAATTCCTTCAAAGCTCCATTATGATGAGAAAGTGTTATAGTTAATGTCTGGTCCCCCTCAATTTATTTGGATTTATTTTCCATAATTTTAATGGTATCAATTATTCTATGAAGCCTTCAATTAGGTGCTCAGGGTTTTAAAATCCAGCTTTTGTAGCTGTCCATATGATAAAATTGGTGTAATAACAGCACACTTTAACACAGCCATATGATAAAAAGTCTCTATAATGTTAGTACTTTAAGACTAACAGCTTCTACAGACAGTTTTAGTGCATAAACCACAAGTATGGAGAATAACAGAAATTTACTTCTTCTCAATTCTTGAAGTCAAATGTACAAAGTCATGGTGTCTATAAGGTTGATCATTTCTGAAAGTCTTGTAGTAGAATCTTTTTTCATTCTTTTCTCTCAAGCTCTGGCATTATAGCTTGTGAATACAGCATGCCAGTCTTTTTCTCTCTTTACTTCACCTTCTCTATGTCTATTTCTAACCTAGTATGTACATTTCTAACACTTCCTTCTCTCATATAAGGATTCATACTATTATGTTTACTTAACGCTTAACAACCAAGGAAAACCCCTGTGCTTGACTACTGACTTTGGTAGCTTCATGGTAAGGAATTGTGCTGTCAACACAAAGGTATGTGGTTTGGATCCAGCTGCTCTGCAGGAGGATGATGGGCACTCAAGTCTGCTGCAATTTACTGCCTTTGAAAACACCCTGGAGGGTCAGCTGTGGGTTGGTTCCAGCTGTAAGGTACACAATAACAACAACAACAACAATTAAACTAAATCTTAGCAGTTCAGATTCACCTTTTGACACCATGGGAAAGATCTTTTTAAATATTTCCCTAAGGATTAAAGTCAAGAAAACCCTTCCAATTCAAAAGCAATGAATTTAATTAGGTATCTCATCAGATGATCTCAACTTGAGAACTTAATTACATTGACACAGACCTTACGTCCAAATAAAGCCACAATTATAATGCAGTATTTAGGATTTTGAAATCTCCTTTCTTTTTTGGGGAGCTGTTTTATTACAATTCAAAACACTGCAGTGCCAGAAGATCACTTGCCTTTATGTCCCTAAGTTTGCTTTGGAGCTTCATGCTCGTTAATTCTTTTTGTATGTCTCATTTTAGGGAAAGAAAATATGGTATCCCAACTATGCATTATATTATAGATTTAATTAGCATTTTTATAGTGTGACAAGCCAATTTTTATTAAATGAGTGAAAACTAAGTACATATATGTGGAAATTATTTTTTAATTGTGATTTTAGTGAAAGTTTTTAGGAAAGATAGATTTTCATTAAGTCATTGAAACACTCTCCCCTCCCCACCCCCAATTCACTTTGTAATGCAGGTCTTGTTCCAGATTTTCACTTGTCATACACCAGTGTCTAATCATCCATTCCATTCGGATAGTGCTTCCCTTCGCACATTCCATTGCAATGTTTGTTATCTATGCATTCTTGCCATGCTCTCCCCATCCCCGTTCCATCCTTTTTTACAACAGTGGTTCTGTGCACTATTTTTTCCTTTTGTGGCTGAGACATTTCACTCAGTATAGTGTCTTCCAAACTTATCCATGTTGTGAATCATTTTATAAATTTGTTTTTTCAGTGTAGTGTAATAGTCCATTATGTGGGTGTATGATGTAGGATCCCAAATCCTACTACACAGCCATAGCAATCAAAAGAGCTTATAATGATACAACAACAGACACATAGATCAGTGAAATGGAATTGTTGTTCCTAGGTTCCAATGAGCTGAGTATGACTCATTAGAGATCCTAGGATCAAAGGATCTTA